TATTACTGTAATCTATAAGTGAATATTTTTTTTTTCAAACGGCATTGAATTAATTTACGTATCTAATATTAATTAAAATATAAATTAACGTACAGATATTGGAGAATTTTGAAATGACGAGATTGAATGAATTAATTAATTCGATATATATATATATTTGTGATGTAAATCATTTGTTTATTTTTATTCTCAATATTTTCATAATATAACGAAAGAGAGTAACATTCTATATAAAATGATCAAAATTGTTCAATTAATTTACACAAAAATTTTAGATTCTAATAAAATAATCTCTTACAACAAATATTTGGATAATAATCTTATTTAAATTTAATTTTTTCTCAAAGCATTCTTTAAAACAATACAATTCGAAACGTACATCGATACAGAAGCAAAAGAAAACAAAAAGATTAGTTTTTTCTTCTTTCTTTTTTTTTTTTTTTTTTACAGATAGAAAAAAAGAATCTGACATAAATAACGAGCTAGTTGGCGCAGTTTGTCGTATAGAAAATGCAAAAATCGAGAGCGAAAGAGAAAGAGAAAGGAAACGAAAAAGAAGAAAAGAAAGGACGATGATAACAGGCTGCTCGACTACTAAAATTCTCTTTGTAAATGTTCCATCGAAATAACCTCTGGCTTGTAGGAGAATTTACTTTGGCCAGGTCAAGCGGTTTTCGAGCCACAGAAAAAAATTGCTCGCGGATATCTCGATCGAATAAGACCTATTGAGAAATTAAGCGTATAAACCGTTTTACGTTTGATACACGAGACGATCTCTCTTTCTCGTGACACGTTTCATTGAGAATTTCGAGAGAAATAGAAATTCAAATATTTTTAAATTCAAATTGAATTAAAAATACATCAAAGAAGAATCGAATTTTAAATTTATTTCTTTCAATTTCGAATTTCTTGCAATTATTTCTCGCATTATTTTCTTAAAAATTCTTGCGTTACGTTGCATAGCAAGATTGTTAATTCGACTCAATATCGATTTCTTTTGATATAAAATCTTTCGCATAATATGAAACGATCGACAAAATCGCTATCACGTTACAACAATCTAACGTGACGCATCATTCACGAATACTCGATCGATACAGGAATCCAAGCTTCAAAAAACGGGAAAGTACGGAATTGGATCATATCCATTCTTCAACAACGCGCTCGTCGAGGATCGTCGACAGTTTGAAACACGATTTCGCGATCGGTGGTGGTATTGTTTTTATATCGCGATTACAACGCGGCAGGGCGAAAGAATCCCCTCGACGTAATGCATTCTTGAGTGGCAATTGAGCGAAAACCTTTCGAAACCGTGCCCAAACAAGGGAGCTGCTTTCGCGTTAACTCGATCAAGATCTCTCGCGTGTGAAAACTGTGAATCTCGGCCTGAAAATATCCGCCGAATATAAACGATCATCGATCTTGACAGAGAGAATTTATTCGACTTGGTGGATCGGTACGGATTGCTTAATAAATTCTACCTCGATAAAGTGCAAAACGAGATTAAGTATCGGCTTTCAATAACGACCAGTTATTAAGTAAATTATTGAAATTGTTTCGTCTAAACAACGTAGCAATAGCAGTCGAGGCAGCTAATATTAGAAGTTTCAAGGTGGATCGTCGATAAGAATTATTCGTTTAGAATTTATGCACGAGATAACGAGTAAAAATAGATATAATAAAATTTAAATAAATAGACTTGATACGAATTTTATTTTGGAACGGTTTTATCGCGAAACCGAACGTAAAACGATATGTAAAATTTTGTAAGTATAAATATAAACAAAAGATACTTCTTTCAACGAGTCACATCGATTCTCGAAAACGCAGCCCCGAATTCTCTTAATAGAATTATATTTCACTATTTTCCTTGCCGAATAAGCAAATTTGGCACGTATCCGGTGGGGCTCGCTGGCCATTTTCGACTGACAGAAACATAGAAGGTGTAAAAGCCGGTGGTGTCCAATTAGCGGTCTGCACCGTTGCCCGGCCCTAATTCACCGAATCCCATTCTATCTCCGTTTGGGCGTCCATTTCTCGGTGAATTCGCGCGCAAACGGCCTCGAACGGCCCTGTTATACCATCGAAACGAGGGACCGTCGTCGAAAATCGTAAGTCACCCATAATCTTTCTTCTCGCTCTTTCTCCCTTTTTTTCTCCCCTTTCGATTTTTGTTGCAGAGAAAAATTCAACAGAGGAAAGTAAACAGTTAGTTATTCCGACAAGCGATCCTTTGCTGCGGTATGTAGACGAATGTTGTTTATGGAAATTTCGCTCGCGAGTATTTGCGTAGAAAAACAATTCAATCGATCGGGAGGGGGGGAGGTCTGTTTGCTTTGGCGCAATCAATTTGATGGGATGTGTTACCCATCGAGTGTCGGGCCACGATACTCGAGGTGGAAGTTGGAACTTTATTTTTAGGAGGACGAATATTTGCTCGAAGCTGTTACACATTGGATATTTTTTTCTTCCTTCTTTTTTTTTATTGAGAAAAGAAAAAATTGTTCGAAGCTTTTTCTCATAGAAAATATTATATTGCAAATCTTCGAGATCGAAGCGTTATTTCGAGCTTGGAGGTAAAAATCGGTTTCGTTATCATAGATATGAATAAAATCTTTTAAATAATTCATAACATTTTATGAGAATTTGAAATTCGTTTATTTCTTACGCGGATTTTTATAAAAAGCAAATATTTCGTTATGATATAAGAAAAAAAAAAAAAAGAAAAAAACGCGCGGCGAAATCATACTTCACCCCGTCGAATACTTGGCAAAATCTCGTTTCACCAACGTTTCACGAATCGCCAACGTTTTGGCAAACGCTGGAGATCGATATTTCCGACAACCCTTCTATTTTTCAACGCCCTACCAAGCAACCTCCCCGATACGAGCACTCGGAATTTCGGATAACGACGCGGATGGCCCGTAAAAAGATGGCCACGGCATCGAACCTGTTCCACCATCTCTCTCTCTCTCTCTCTCGTGACGATAACCCTTAGCTTCTTGCCACGAAATTTATTTTTCTCGTGGAGGATGGGGTGACCGTGAACGGCGAATACGTGACGGCTCTTGCTTGGGAATAGAGAGAAAACAGCGTGGCAATATAAGCATCGTTCGCATTTCAAACGAATCATCGGCGGAACGAGGGTCAATGTCTAAACCCCCCTTATTGAGCTCGTCTCTTGCGAACCAGCTTGGCAGTTTCATAAAAAGAATGTTACTTTCGAGGATATTGATATCGGACAATAAAGAATTTTATAGTGGGTGGATTTGATATCGAAAGGTTAGATTATTGGGTTAATAAAAGAAACGAAGGATTGCAAATATTTATTTGCTTCGTTGATCATCGACAAGTGAATAATTTCATTGCGTGAAATGTCAATTATTCCAATCTCGAAAATTGGTGAGAGAGAATCAAGGAATTTATCGAGTATTAAGAAATATTGTAAAATTGTTAGAACTGTAATAATATTAACTCTTCTACTGTTAATATTTTTACAAAAATTATTAAGGAACGATCACGATGAACATCTAATCCATCTTTTATATAAATAGAAGAAATCAGGCAGGATAGAAAGAGATACTTGACCGGAAATTACGTTCTCGTGGAGAGACAAGTTCAATATATACGTAAGTCATCTTTCTGTGTAAGAAGATACCAATAGAAAGCCAATATATATGTAGAGCCAGTAAATCGGAAAGATTTGTTATTGCCACCAGAGTAGAGCATCCAATCCATTTTTATGATTTAATATGGAATAAAATTCGAAGATTGCTAAGAACATTAAACATGGAATAATACTAACTTATATATAATGTTAAATATTATCCTATTTACATCTCCACGATCAGCCCGATCAATTTCTCGGTCTGTTAGACCGATATTAATAAATAAAATCCTACAGTGAATTTGTGAAGCTCATAAACAATGATTTTCTATTCTCGGGAATTTTACAGAAACTCTTGATCTCTACTGATATCGCAATGATTCACTGTTCTGCTAATTCCTAATAAATTTATTCTTACAATTCATATTATAATTTGTAATACTTTAATTACAAATTCATATCAATTAGAAATCTAATAAATTTTACAATTCTTTATTTAGTATTAATTTTTAATTCTATGTATTCTACTTTTAAGATAAAGTAATTTGTGCTCATCATTCATTCATAAATCATGTAAAAACCTCTGACTATCTCTCTTTTTTTTTTATACAATCATTTCAATTTTAGCATAGCTTTAAATCCATCGGTCCGAGCCGCGAGTATTTCCCCTCAAGTTCACTGTACTCCATAACTTTCAGTGTCGATAAGTCATCGTTTCCCCTGATCGAACGAGAAAACTCATAAATTGTTCGCTGCATCAGCCTCGTGAATGTTTCACGACCGGAAATTCATTGCCAGCGCGAGTCCGGTTAAATATATCGGTCTTTCCCCATCGAAAACGTATACGTATATGTATGCTATTATATCGACAAACCAAGTTCGATTCGACGAGCATTAACTCTTTCGTTATGAATTTAAATGGAACGGGAGGGAAAGTAAGGTTGATTTAAACGAAATTGGCTTAAACACTGGTGGAACATTGCTCGAAATTGTAAATGAAATCGACGATGTAGATTAATGGAAATATCGACTTTGAGTCATTTTACAAAAGATAAGCAGCGACTGCTGCCAATATTAGATAAATCACTTGTATAATTGAAAGAAAAAGAGGAAATAACAAAAATATGTAATATTACAAAATTACAAGTCGTTCGACTTATTTTTTATACCATATTTCATCGTTTCGTCTTGGAGAAACTTTTCGATCGAAGATTTAGAAAAAAAAAAAAAATCCCGTTCCCCTTGTATTTGTACAATTTCTTTCCCCGTGCAAGAATTACAGAAATCAAAAATGAGAACATCTGGAATGACTTTCTAATTGAACGTTTCCCCCTTTCTAATGCACAATTTTTTGCACAATCTAATGACGATCTTTATTCGTTTCTGATTGCAGCTGGTGGGCGGCGAATTCGACATGGAACTGAACTTCGTGATTCAGGACGCACAGAACATCAGGCATATGCTGGAATTGCTCGATCATTGCCCGCCCAATCTCCAGGTAAGCAAAGGGTGTTACGTCCGCCCTGATCAAACTAATTATCCAAGGGGGTTGGGGTGTTATATCAGGCCGCAAATTTGATTCTACGAAGGAGAACACGATCACTGCGATCAATACGTTTAAACGTAGTCGTAATTAATTTCTTGCTCGACCGGTTAACGGTAATGTAACCTTTTATTCGCCTTCCATAGTTCTCGTTCTCAACATTCAACCGATATTCGAACCGAACAAATTAATTTCACGTGATTTCAGATTCATATTCATATTCATTACAACTGATTTTGGATAAAGTTTGACCGAGGCATTAATACTAAAGAAGGAAAGAGTAGACGTTTGAAGTGAAATATACACGTTACGATCTGTTACGATCTGAAAATCGAACAACACGAGACGTTGATCTAGAAAGTTTTTGTTGTGTCGTTTCATCTGGAAAGTTTGTTTCGTCGCAAAAATACATCAAGAATTCAAGTTCTCGCGTGTAATTATCTCTGTGCAAAATCTGTCTACAAACATTTGCTACGCGAAAAACAATCATCATCTGCAACACACGATGGAAGAAATGCGATTCTCATCCGAATTCGAAATCATGAGAAACGCGATCACGAGATCTTCGAACTCGTTTTTTGTAAAGGAAGCAAAGGATATACAACAAGACAAGAAAGTTTAATTCACAAAGAAAAAGCCATTTTCCCTTTCCTCGGCGGACCGGTAAACTTGCACGGGTTGTTCGCGTCGCGGCCAGGAAGTTTTCGTGTAAAAGTAAATAGAAATTTAAACTGTGTACACGGAACAAGTTATGAGAAGCTTGTTCACTCGTTTCTAGCATCCTTTGATCGCGTGTTCGCGTTAAACGCCGGTGGAAAATGTTGTTCGACAAAGTTCACAATAGAGGCTAATTTCGTTGCTCGCGAGACAGGGGGGGGAGGGGGGGGAGGGGAAGGGGGGGCAAGTTTTAAAAACGAGCAATTAAGCCAACGTTTGAAATAATTGTATATAAGTTAAATTTTTCTTTCTAATTATTACGAATTTCTTGCTTTTTTTTTTTTTTTGGAATGTTTACGATGATTATTTATAGCTCAGAATATATTTCGTACTAATATTTCAGCATCGAGGAGCTTTCTCGGATAAAGGGATGGAAATTTCAGCTTTCACAAGATGGAAATTTTTTTATTTAAAAAAGAGAGGATTAGTTTGATGTCTACGCTGCTTGCCTGACCATGACGGGCCAATATAATGTTTCTCTCGTCATGCTTTACACTAAACACATTTGAATACAACGGTTCTATTCTTCTTTTTCCTGTCCGACGGGCATATACCACTTGTCTCGTCATGGCTGTCTTACTCCAGTTGCCTGACTCTACTAAGCTAACCACGATTGCATTGTGCTACTACTTGCCCGATTATAACGATCACGTTCTACTCGCCTCGCCATGACGGCCAACTATACTCTTGTCACGCCATGGCTGTATTATTCTATTTATCCGAACATAATGGCCCTATTGTATTTATCCAATCATGACGGGCATATATTATTTGTTCGCCATAACTGATTTATCGCATTTGCTTAATTGCGACTCTAATTGATAATTGACTACGACCGTGTATCTTTATCTATAATTTGTAATCATTGGTACATCATTATTGTTGAATTAAAAATATTCTGATTAATCTACGCGTGAATAAGATACGGATATTAAAATAATTATAATTGAAGTAATTTAATAATTCGAATTATTAAATGTTCGATATATCGAGATTAATTAAGGATCACTTATCGAGAAATGATTTATAAAGAGAGATTCTTCCAGATATTTTTCCAGAAAACTTCTCAATGGGATTTTTAAAATTATACATTATACTCGATGATTTAATTCGAATAGAAGTTAAACCAAAAAAGAAACGTCGTATTTTTATACTTCGTTTCTAACAACCGATATCGCCCATTAGCACGAGTAATAATACTTGCTTTTACACCATTTGACACGATTTGGCATTTCAATCTACATAAATCGATAATCAGAGAATCCGTGTAATTTATGTACGACAGATAGACTTGTTTAATTGATATTTTACAATACAATTGAATGTATTATATAGAATACATCTTTCTAATGGCCGATCCATTTTTCTTATTTTATTTACTTCGCATTAATTTTAATGCATAATTCATTCATTCGTTAAATTTTATTAAACGTGTATATTTCATCCATCCGTGTGTCATTAACTTCAGAATACATTAATAAAAGACAAAAGACAAAATATTCGTGGTATTATCACATGCTAGTAGAATTCAATTTTAATAGATTATTTTAATTTTTAAAAAACATCCTAAAACATTCTATTAACTTGTTGCTACGAATAATGCGTCAATAGAAAGATGATAGCTTGCTAATACGAAGCCACAATATGAATTTGCCGTATCATCTTGATAGGATAGCCTGTGGCTGATATAATCTGTTGGAGATTGGTTTCTGGTGTCCTCAGAATCCGGTTCGAGCACATCTCTGAAATGTTAATACGGTTAAAGGAGTTTCCACGTCGATGTCCCCAACCATACATGCTTACTTCCTACATATATCTTATATGTATACGCAGAAAATAAGAGAAACACATATATACGAACAAGCAGAAAGCTTATCCACTCATTGAAATCTAAATCGCACACTATGGAATGCATAATTATCTTAATAGAATATACTCTCTTTTTTTTTAAATAATTTAAGGATAATGTGAATTTGCAAATTTTTAATTTTTCGTAAATGATCCTCTATGAAAAATACGCAATATGGGAAATAATTGAAAATTTCAATATTTCTCGCTGAATTTTGAACAAGACACGTTCTTCTTCTTTATATAATTGTAATTCTTTGAATTTATATGTAAAAAATTTTAGGAAAAAATTTTAAATCAGTTTCAGAAATTTTTTCAACGTCAAACTCTATGAAATCCTGAGAAAATTGGTATTAATTTCAAAAGGAACTTGATAGGAGGTTTAATATTAGCATATTACATGACTAGACGAATTTTAATATTGACATATAGTACAACCATAGAAAGTTTATTTATCTTTTTTAATTCTTTCCCAATGCACGATTTACAAATAAAACGAATATTTTTGGAATATTTTCTTTCTCTCTTTTTCTACCAAACAACAATAACTAGTGAAAGATGAAACCCTTTAACAAAATCAATGCTAAACTTTCCAGATAAAGAATAAATTGACAATAAACAAGCAACAATAAGTCTTTGCGCAGCTCGAATATCGAGGAAAAAGAGGAATAAATCGTTTCAATAATTTCTATTCGAAGTTTCCTTGCCTCTTTGTGCCAATTTACGGTCAACCATTCTTTACCTCAGACACAGACGTTGAACGTTCCTCGAAAAGAGATACGGGCCCGATTGAGAAATATACAATTAAATCTCGAGTATATTTCTTCGTTATTTACCTCGCGCTAGCCTCGTGGCGATATTTTCAAAGAGGCAATTAAAATGGATGAGACATCTTCGAGCTCGAAGAAATTCTTCTCAGAGTAGAAGAAAATATCAGTGGAAGCCGAAAAAAAAATCAACAAAAATAAACAATTGAAATATCGCATTGAATCTTTTCATAATCTGATAAAATTCCAATCGAATTCGCTCTGCCCGTTATCACGTGATTGCCTACCTCAGAATTGATGTAAATGCATGCAACTCGTATTACAAAACTTATCCCAGTTTTAACATGCATTACCTCTTTATACGATGTTACAATATATATATATATTGGATTGGAAATTTTCTGGTCTTAGTTGGATAGCGTTAAGGTCTCACTGAAGTTTTGATATCGAGGTTTTTAAAGGTTAGTTTAAATTGCATTAGTTATACATGTATCAAAACATGCGTTTCGATGTTGGATACAACGAATTGCATACATTTGGAATTTAGTTTATATGCATAAAACAACAGAATATTCGAATTTAAAATTATTCTATTGTTAAGATAAAGTATTCGAATAATTTTAATCGATTAAAATTCAATCAAATCCATATTCGAATTTTTCAAATACAAGTTCAAATCGAAATTCAAAATTTTAAATCGAATTCAAATTTCCCAAAATACAGACTTTCTATTTCAATTTCTCAAATTCCTTACTCGACATTCATATTCTTTCGTTTAAATTCAAATTTTTCGATTCAAATTTAATTTTCCCATTCGAATTCAGATTTTTAAATTGAAATTCAAATTTTCCATTCAAACTTAAATTCTTTTTTTTTTCCAATTCATAATTTTCAATAAATTTTACATGTTTTCCAAGCTTAAACTACGCTCTAATCATTCACCAAGTCAAATAATACAGTTCTAACGATTTTAGGATTTTTTTAATATACACACGTGCATTACAACAAATTTCATATTTTGCAAAAAAACCCAAATAACAAAAAAATTCGTAACAAATTTCCACCTATAATATCAAACCTAAGGAAGGAACGATATTCCACAAATATCAACTTCAGTATCATACTTCATATACGAAAAAAATTGCAGGGAGATAACACAGAGGATTGTCATTCTCGTTATTCTATATAAGTCGATCTCAATTAATTATCATGTCTGGCAACATTGATACAGCTCGTGGTTAACCGTATTTCCGGAGGAACTACTTCAGATACAGCGAGTTACCGGTGTCGTATCGATGAAATGTAAATTTGGATAACTGCTTGCAAACGTCATTCACGCTGGTGCAACGTGCACACCGCTCGCCTATCTCATGCATATGCCTCTGGTAAACTATGCTATCGCTTTCTCCCGCTATATTCCGCTTTTAAGGAATAAATGTAACACGTGTTTGCGAGCCCGGGGCACGAAACGGGGCGAGTTGTAGCGAATTTACAAGTGTGTATCAGATACACGCAAATTTTGCGTGCCACGACACGGGTTATGGCGTGGCTGGAACGACATGAACTGTTTTTAATGGGCCATAGTATTATGAATGATATTATTTCAGCATTATTGTAAGATGTTAAAGTAAATTTCTATTGCTTGGATATTTAGAATATCAAAAATATCGGTATATAAATATATTTATCAATGTATAACTTTTTGAATATTTTTCGATTGTTGTATTTCTCTACTCTTTTTACTCTAAAAAATATATATCACTTATTTAAATATCAATCAAACACGATTCCATTTACCTGTTATATTATTAACAAAATTATTATTAAGTATTACATTATTAACATCGTATCGTATCAACGGAGGCACAGATTAAATTCATATTTTGATAAATATCGCACGATAATTCTCCCAATTCAAACATTTGCATACTAATTTAAAACAAGAAACATATCATTCCAAACGACCTTATTCACCTGGTCGCCCCATTATTACAAAATTATTCCAAATTTATATCCAACTCGAAAACTTCGACAGTGGCGGCGCAACCGTGTTTTCGATCCACGATTGTTACAGGAAAATACGTCCATAACTCAGGCTGAAATTTATGAAAGCCGGCATCACCGGTAATCCCACGATATCCGAGTTATAAAGCTTAAATCATGACCGATTGTTCGCGAGTGTTATTCATGGACTTGGCGAGCCATTCGAGAACTTGTTAAATCTGTCCGGGTGCAACGATCTACGTCAAATTTGTTCGGACAAACGGCGGCTAACATTGCACAAACTCTGACATTCGATTGTCTGGAATGGATTTAATAGTTTATCGTCGAATCGGTGTATAAATTCGCTCGCTCGATCGTTGCTAGAAAACAAAACGGGGGAGAAAGAGTGATTTTTATCACTTTTCGAGTTCGCGCCAGTAGTAGCTCGTCGTAGTACCTTGTGCTTCGGTTCCCGGTCATTCCGCGCGATTGCTCTTTACCCGTTGTCGCGATTTGTCCGACTTAACTGGTTATTCGTTTGATAAATGGTGTCGAACTTGCCGATCTTATGATTTATTGAAAATTTTGGGAAAATTGATCGTAATTGATCGTGGAAGGGGATCTTATCAAAAAGCTTTTCTTGAATTTTATAAAATCCATTAACGAAACGTTTAAATTTCCGATTTTAACGATAAAATTATCGAAATATATTTAAATTAAAAAAATTTAAATAAAAGAAGAACGTTTATACCAAAGCTAAAAAATATTATATTCGTCCCTTGCACGAAGATCGCTAATTGTGTATTTTCCTCGAGTTTATCCAAATTATTTGCATTCTTGTGGTTTACAGTATTATTCTGTGATTTACATATTCATGAATGCGCACAATTATTGAATAAATTATACGTCTTTCACGTATTCACGTAACCCCCTCTCAATTTTCGTTTCACACAAAATAACATCTTGCGAGAGTACGTTGCTTTAACAAAGAGTGAAGAGGAGGAAAAAGTGATGAAATACAAAGACAGATTGTATCCACGTTCATCGAATAACCATTTATCAGAATTTCGAACTAGACTAACAAAATACATACGTGGCCTATACCGCCATTGTACAAATCTGCAATGTTGCGACGCTTGTTGAAATTGGACGATTTCCAAACGCTTTGAACAAACAGCGAAATAAATATGACCGGCGTACGTACGATTTTACACGATAAAATTTTCCGATGAATTATTACACGATCGTGTAAATAATCGATAAAAGTAATATTGGACAAATGAAATTTTCTCCAAATCTATAACCATTTTTATCATCTACACGTGGCATATTGTTTGATAAAAAAGAACAACAATGATAATAAAATTTTCTTTATATAAGAAAAAACGAGATGGAATTCGTAATTTTAAATAAAATTTTTTTATTCGACGAATTTTTATAAATCTAAATAAGTTTAATAATATAAGAATCAACACCGTGCATGCACATCGTTCTGCATAACGATAAAAATGTTTCTTCACTCGTTAAATGTACCTTGTTCCCAAACAATTACGAAAGTTTACTCTACACGTAACGAAATTTTCCTTCTCTCTAGCCACATTTCGAAAAACATTTCTGATTAAATTATATTCACCTCGAACTTCGCTCTCTTTTCAATTTCCACTCATCAAAATTCATTTTCACCGTCAATTTTCAATTTTCACGACCAACAAGTATCGTAACGCGTATCAAATTAAAAATTCAAGACGCATTGTCATTTCATACGATGCTCGAACAACTCTATACTATGCGTGACAAACGAATGAAACAACGTAATTATTGGTGCAATGGAACAATATCGATCGAGCGTGTTGTGTGTATTCCAAAGTGAATTCTCGCGGAAAAGAAAATGGACGTGTAACGCTCGCATCGTGAGTTATGCACGGTGGTGCACGCGTATGCAAATATAGATCAGATCCGAAATGGAACGTCGAAGGTGAAATCTATTAGCGTGGAAACGGTGTAGCGCGATTAAATAACAAAGGTGTGGGACCTTAGCTTTCGCGAGGCGCATTAATTCCAGTCCGTAAATTACGTTCTGTCGAATGCAACGCGTATTTCATTTACTCCGATGAGAAATTAATAGCACGAGAGTTCGGACACATTTCGATCGTTTGACTCGTCGAGCATTGTCACTAACGGTGATGCAAACACGCAACTACAATTTAGTTTATCAGTTTTGCCAAGGAAAATCCAATATTAATTTCTATATTTCGTTTTTTCTTTTTAATATGACGTGTCAAATTAATTTATAAATATTTTCGAGAAGCTGATCGCGTTTAATCAAGAATAGAATATTAATTTCGAACAAGACAAAGAAAAATGTTGTGATTCGTATTATCTTTTTTATTCTTCTAAAGAATTATCTGATAACGTATCCAAGAAATAATAATATTAAGGAAATGATTATTTTAACGAATGAAATATTGATTTCTTGATAATAGTTGTTGATCATTCTAAAAGAAAAAATTTATTTTATCACTATCAGTTTCGAATAAACGACTCTACATTCGATTCAATATATCTGGACACGAGAGAAACAATTCCCCATCAATTTAAAAAACTCGATATCCTGGATAATCTTGTGGACTTCGCGTAATAGGTACAAACGATCTTGTACACGATACATCATTCTAAACCCGAAGGATTTAATACAGCGAGCTCCAGTGCCAAGGAAGTCAATTTAGGATCATTCCTGAACCTGAAGGGATTCGATGTGGATGACCTGAATCCAGGAACGTGCATACATCATCTCAAGATCCAAGGATCCGGTCGATTCCTTCAAATATTTCGAGATGTTGGTTGAGTATCCTACCTTTGCCCTCCTCACCCACCCACATTATTTGTGTTCCTTCGGTGTAATGTCTACATACTGTTTGATTTAGAGTTAATTGTACTAGTGTTCGCTCGTGTCACGTATTATCTGTTCCAATCCCTTTGAATCAAAGCTGTCCTATTCCCCGTCTAGTCTATCTTTGATCTTAAGTTGTCCGTGTTGGCCACGGACGATTTGAATCGATTAATCATTTTGACACAAAGATTTATTTAATCGCTTTCTTCTAAATTTACTCACACATCAACCTCTTTAAAATCACTTATGTTAAATTTTTTTGTTCATTTCAATCTAACTTGTTCGCGTTGAGTTTATATAACTTAAAGTTATATAATTTGAAATTATTTGCAATCTCTTAAAGTAATTTATTAATGAATATCAAATTTTCCTAATTTCATAAATTCTAAATATATTCTCTGTGAAAGTGTATCACAAATCTATGCTCCACGTTTAATTTCTATTCCTCGAATTTCTTGGCCCTGCAAACCACCCTATATTCCTAGACCGCAAGTATTACAATAATCTCAAATAATCCATGATCCAACATCCAAGATAACGAACGTTTAGGTTCTACGAAACTTCGCTTGACTTCGTTACAAAATCATTAATCACACGGTTTACCAGATGTTCGAGGCGTACTCAACCCAATATCTTTCATGCACGCCAAGCGTAAAATATTTCACGCGACCTAGTATTAATGCCACGCATCGTCAACGTTATTCGTGCGTATAATACGGAATATAAACAAGCATGTACATGGCGCATTATAGTGTTGTGCTGCATAAGTGAAGCTGAAAGCGCAACCTCGGCTGCGAAATATCGGGTCAAGTTTAATGACTCAACTTTACTATGCTCGTCTCAGAAACATGATGAAACATGGATGGTCTTAGTCAACAAGATTTGCCGCCTCTCACCAGAAGCAAAGGAACAGCACTCATTATGAGTCTGTATACCTTCTAAAGATCTCGGCGTAACGTTTAAATTTATTCGATGAACGTGTTTTTGCGATATAACGAGTTTTTGTATAGCAACGGACTGCTCATGTTTGTATGTTTATAAGTAATTTAAAAATTCAAAAGTAAACACGAAAAGCGTTTAAAAATATTAAGATTAGTAAATATTTAAGATACCTTATCTTTCATTGTTTTATTATTCATGAAAACATATAAAGTTGCACGAACATCTGCGGCTTATTTTTATCAAATATCGTTTAAAATATATCGCTTATCGATACATAAAGGAAAGATTTAAAAAGGAGGAAAAAGATTGATAGAAGAAATAAAAGAATAATCGTGTTAAAAGAAATAAATATCTTACCTTTTATTAGCAAAACTGGATTAGCTACAAATATTAAATAAGAAAACATATTTCGAGTTAAATTTAAAAATTCTAATAAATTAGTGAATCGCTGTTTAAATCATTCGAAATTAAACATTCACACTCTCAATAATATTACATCGAAATATCATTCAATTATATTCATCAAATTGAACATCATACTTCGATACAAATTTCGCGACTTCCATCCCATCAACCATTCACGAATCGAGGGTATAGCATCATCGAAACTCGAATCAAAATATTACAATTCCTCTCGAGCACTCTAAAAAATCGTTATACTTTCCCAATTTAAGCGCTTTATTTGCACGCATCGCGCGTACAAATTCCAGAGTCGGCAGTTCCCGCGCGACGAATGCAACGCGAATGTCTTTGGTTATTAGCCCGGCTGGAATATTAATCCCGGTTAGTGGCAAGTGGCGCGATAATAGCGACACTTGCGTTGCGGTCAACCCGAATTTATGTCGGCCGAGTTCTCGTTGTCGCGGCCTCTGTCGGAGGCGGAGTCATTGTTGGAGGCATCAGAGGATCGGCGATAACCTCCTCCCCCCGGGCCGCAGATGCTCCCTGCACCGCAGACAGAAACTGCGGGGACCACTGCGTTGCAGTTAATTGCTCGCGGATCGAAGCGATGGGAATTACCGGCGAAATTAAAACACCGAATGGGGGAGAGCTCGATAACATATTTTTCGTCGTTAGCGTGGCCGGTCGTTAAAATTCGTATGGCGACCGCGGAAAACGTAATCACGGTGTACCGATTCGCTGGAACACGTGGATCGGAATAACATCGTTTCGTGTATAGTATATCGACGGGATATACTGCGAGAAAATCGTGGAAATTTTCGCGATAATTTTTTTTTCATCCGTGTTTTGTTGTACATTAGATTTTCGAAATTATGTTTGAAAATTGTGTTATCTCGAATATTGTCGAAATAGAGATGATCAAGAGTGATATATAGTTAAAATTTAAAATGATGTTAGGACTAATGGTTGATGAGTTGGATATATCGATTTCTTTTCGCGACTTTTTTTTTTGTGGTATTCGCATTCATTTTTAAAAATTGACTTTAATTTTAGGATGTGCAAAAGACGCAATGTTTGAATAAATTGTCGATGATTTTTCCGGTTGGTTGTAAATTTAGATACAATTTTATTGGTCACTTATTGGTTATAAATATTTCGTATTTTTCGACTCGTTTTTTATAAATCGTACATATTTTAAAAGTGCGAGGAGAACTACATTTTTTAAAATGTGTACACAAATTCAAATTTTAATTTGAATTGTAGAATAGACGATAACAATATTTACGTGAATAATAATTAAATGTACATATCAAATGCATTCGTGATGAAGAACAGAGAACAGAGAGAATATATTTTTAATACTCGATAAAGAATCTCGAATGAAAATTAATATTAAAATATATAAAATGTAAATATACGTAAAAAATGTACGTAATAATTTTCAAATATATAAATGTATATATATGTATAATATAAATAAAAAGTTTTAAAATGATACGATATTTTCTGAAAATTTTGTTTAAAAATTAAAAGATTTAATTTTTAAATATAATTTGAAAGAATTAAAATAACAGGAAAAATCATGTTACAATTATTAATTTGTGATAATTGTCCAAGAAAGAATTTATTTTTGGATATGTATACGTATCGATATTATTATACATAGTTTAAAAGAGAAAAGAATATTACGTGAAATGTTAAAAAATGGCTCGAAAAGTAAATTAATAAATTTAAACTTCAAAGACAATGTACATTGTGTAAATCTCATCGAGAGTTTTTGAACTTAAAAAAAAATCTCGTTAACAAATTTGGTAACATTGAAATCTGAATTTTCGCTTCGATGCTACTTCGATGATAAGTAAAATGAATACTACAGTTAGAAATGGAATATTTATTAACGCATTATAAAAACATTTTTATTTAACGCTTTGTTTTTTTCAATTCGAAATTCATTTTTTTTTCTTTACATTTATATAATATTTATATGTAAATACGTTCAATGCGCGCAAACTAGGAAGAACAAATTATTAAGTTCTTCCTCGCAACATTGAAACTTTATTATAAATGTATGGAAATGTATTTGAATAATTTTTTATTCATCTCAAATATATTTAGACCGCGAAAGTATTTTCTCTTTCGTATTATTTTCTTATTTCAATGAAAAATTCTTTTCTCTCTTTCTACGATTTATTTGCCAACAGTCAAATATTTTTTATTAACGCTTGATTAAACGGACTAAGTTTATAAACGAATTGATAACTTTCGTAAAATTTTTATAAACTTACCGATGCTGCATTTATTATCGTAGATATCGCCATTGTTCACGAGCTCTGTTGAAAACTTGCTGTAAATCACGTTGCACGAGAGCAGAGAGAAAGAGAGAGAGAGAGAGAGAGAGCACATCTCCATAGAAAAATTTTGTGCAGATAAATACAGTCCATCGTCTTTAAGATCGATCTATGAAAACAGAGGAAGCAATTTTTAAAAAGAAAGAATGATCGAATGATGAATATTTGTACATAAATGTGAAGAAAAAAGATAAAATATGTTATTATTTGAGAATTCATATATAATTTCCATTGATTTTATATAATTAAGAGAGAGAAAAGCAATTTTTTATTTGACTTTAAAAATGTAAATTTTTGAAATTTCAAATATAAAAAATAACTTTGAAATATATTAGAATTTAAAAATTTGAATTGATTTGAATTTTTAAAATTCAAATATTGAATATTCATATGTAATAAGAATATGAAAATTCGCAATTTGATAATATAAAAATAAGTTAAAAAATTATGAAATATTAATTAAAATATTTAAAATATAAAGTAAAAATTAAATTTTTTAAGAATTCTGTTTAATATCATATTAAAATTTATTACATTAAAATTAAATTAGTAAATTAATATTATAAAGTGCTTACATTTTACGGTACTTTTGTCCATAACCATATAACCTCACTATATGCCGAAAAATATCACGCTTGCTAGTTATATACTTGCGCTATCGGTCACTTTCAAATTGTTTATAAAGTATGTATATGTATAAACCATAAGAATAACGTATTTATTCGATGTTTTGAAAAAGTGAGATACAAAAGGACACGAAATGTTTTCAAAATCATCCGGATTATATGATCCGGAATGTACTAGCATATTAGACACGTAACATACATACTGTGTGTGAAAAGCGCATATGTTCTGCGCATAGAACAAAATGGATATCAATCGTCCGTTATAGACGGTTCGATCTATTCATACTTCGATTATGTTTAACGATCAGACTCTAATAGATCTCTACCATATATTTCATTGTTTATTATCTTACCTTATTATCGCCAAATGTTTACTCGTTTACTTCTTTCTTCTAATTTTAACTGTCCTTTTTTTTCTTTCTTCTTATTTTTCGCAAACAAATGTATGGATTCTGAAAGAATTTCTTATTTAAAATACATGTAATAGTATTATATATGTCATTCTTATTATTTTTAAAATATTAATAACAATTTCTTGATGTATTTCAAATGATATAAAATTCATATCCGTCACATTACGAACACCATTCTCACACACTTTTCTAACCTCAGTATCACTAAGCTTGACAAAATACCACTTAAAATAAAATTTAAATCACTATTCACATACTACAATAGTCTCTTGAAGAATGTAATATTAAAAGGTAAATCTTTGAAGACAAACTAAAGATTGATCTTGTTTTTTTAGAATAAATACGTCAAAAATTTTTAGAAAGTTTTACGAAACGACCGAAGAAAATTAATTATGGCTATACTTTATATTCTTGCCTGCAGTGGCGCTGCCTTCCTAAACGTTACTAACAATGCAATTTCGTAACGACAATGTTAATTTTCCGCGGCATTTTTGAATTTACTTTTTTAATTAGTTCAATTTTGTCATACGAATCATGGCTTGAATATCAAAGAAAAGAATCACTGAAAAATTCCGCGAATGCTCGTTTCTCGAATTTCCGTGCAATTACAAGTCTAGAGTTCAAATAAAAGAGATTTCATGAATTAAATCATTTCGAACTGGAGGAGTGTTTTTATTAGCGCGAGGATGCAACTTGGTAAATAAAAATCTTTGATGAATTTATATGAATTTATATAAAACATATTTTAAATATTAAAAATATTAAAATGATATGGAATAATTAATAATTCCTGCATTTGATATTTAAAAAAAAATTATATTAAAAAACGAACAACAGTATTATTTGAAAATAAAATGGAATAATATAAATTTATTAATATAAATGAAAAGAAAGTATTCTCTTAACGAATAAATATTTTGTAGCATAATATTTTGTATCCTGCTATCTTTCTATATTACTTTTCAATTTTTTCTAAAATTAAAAAATTCATTCTTCTAAATCAAGCTCAAAAGCGAAATCCATTCGTTGTTCAAAGCTATCTACGGATCTCCCTTACATCGAATCGAGACACGAGGAGTCAAATGATCCTGCGTTCACCACAGAATCCGCTTTTCTCTTTCACTCAGCACGCTGTCGCTAACAATTTCGCAGAACCGCGCGTTGCAACGGGAGTTATCGTGAAGAGGTCTATTCAAACAGCACGTACTCCTGGAGCCCCCGTTCCTGGGACGTAATCTAGTCAACGGTGCACGATTGTACATACGTAGAACGGTGCCATGGAAATCGTTCGTGGGACAACGCCCTGCGTTGGCGTCGCGTCGCCTTCTGTCCCTGCACAATAATCAACGGGGATGAAAGAACGGTCGGGGAAAAAGTACTTCCGGTATCCTGCCGAGGAAACATTAATTTTTCGAATTATTACTGCGAGCGTGCTGCATCGTATCTTTGTGAGTTTTGTGTATGGAGAGATAGATGGCTCGATGAATTTTCTTTCACTGTGAAATTAAGTATTTTTTTTATGTATATTGGTAAAGATGTAAGTATTTATAGAAGCATCAATGAGTTTTACGATGATGGTAAAAGATGTATAGATAAATTTGAAAAGGGAATTTTAAATTTGTAAAGAGAAAAAATTAAATTTAATATATTTGAAGTCTGAGTGATTAAATAAATTACTTTTAATAGAATTAAATTGTTTGATTCTTTAATTATTTTGGATAATTTTTTCATTGTTTTATTTGTAAAAATATACTTTTCTCGGAGAATATTAATTATCGTTCTCTAGATTCGAATTAATAGATCACATATCCATGCGAGATATTTAGGATCCAATAGGATCGTTATCGATAAACAAACTTAACGAAAAGATTGATCGTCGGCAACGAAATTAATCGAAAAGTAGAAATGTCATTCGTTGGTATCGGTATTCAGTGATTTACGCGATACTATGCCGTTTCAGCATACAGAAAGGTTCATTTATTCGTGACGTTTTCATCACCGATAGAACCATCGCAAGTTCGATATTGCTTTTCGGATTAACGGAAAAACGGGCTATCTTTCTTTCGTTCATCTGTCAGGACATTCATTGACTTTATCCGGGGAACATTAGCATGCAGTCAGCATAAACTGACTAATAGCTTTCGTTCGATCGAAATATCAAAGTTACGCTTTGAAATAATAGATATATTCGATGCTTCTCACATCTCGATTAAACTGTCAAAATTTTCTTCGAGAATATTAAATGTGTGTGTGTGAATTAAATATTAAATATTTTAAAATAAATATTACAAAAATATAATAGTATTTGATAAATATGAAAAGATTTTAATTATTTAAGGATTTCATTCATTAATATGATATATATAAAACTTTTCAATATAAATCAAATTTTTTTCAATACGAAAATGAAATCCATCCTTCATTCAATGATCTATTGAATTTCCATTTTATCGATCCTCACCAGAATTCGCTGTCTCACCAGAGACACCCATGTAAAACAGCCAAATCATGACGAACGAGTTTCCATGATACCGTATCAGGGAAGGAACACCCAGCTTTTATTAGATACTCCCGATCTATTACAAGAAAAGTAAGACAAATCGTTCTTAATGAGCGGTGATTTGTTACGAGATATAGGAAGGAAAGAAAATGTTCAATCACGAGAACGTTTTTTGGTATCGGTCTACGTGAACAATTCAGTCGTGCCAAAAAAGGGAGAAAAACGATAAAAATTGCAACATTATATAAACAATGTTGCAAACGTCGTAGAATTCTAGTTCTGGAATAACGTTTCCGATTGGGATAGTCATACGTTTTTCGAGTAAATAAGAAAGAGAAGAGTGCTGTAAGCGAGGTAAAGTAAAGTATGGACTTCCTGCAGAGATGACTTTGTTTTTCTTCTTTTTTCTTTTACCGTACGTTAAGTATGGGAAGAGTATTTAGTAGAGTCTTGCATTAAAAGCATTAAAAATTGTTTCATTTAAGTATTTATTTTAAAGTAAAATGTTTTTATAAAAAGCTTCGAAGGAAAAAGAACGAATATTTTTATTGTTTTAGCGAGAATGGATAGTATTTTCAAGTATTATTGTTTTAAGTTAATATACAGATAGATTTATATAACTCGAAATGTTTGATAACTGTAAATTTCTATATTATTATACAATTGAGTGAAATGTATTTTTGAAAAATTTTCTGCTTTTATATATGCTTCTATAAATAATAGAAATGAAACTCCATTAAAGGATTATGATTTGTTACCACTGAATGTAGTAACAGAATTTAAAAGAGATCAAAACAGTGCAAATGTACGATAAAATTGCATTAAAATTGCGAATTCTCTCTAGCAAAAATTTCAGTAAAAATTCATATTTTTCATTCTGATAAAAAAGTTATGATATACCACACAATTCTATTTTCCTTATTTCCATTTAATCTACTCGTGAGATTGAAAAATTTATAATACAGATTTATATATAGTATATTTATAACATTCGAAAATTATCTTTAAATAACAATCAATTTTTCAAATTAGTCAAATAACAATAAATTCCAAAACATTCATACGACAATTCGAAGATCAATATATCACTCACATATCACACAAAATTATAATAAACAAACTACGCATATATATATAATTCTAATTCAACAGCTTCAAAGGCTTCACAATTTAATATTCCCAACATTCCAATGACCAAAAATAATCGCGCACGAATTAACCGTCCACCACTTAATCACGTGCATTTGCAAACTATCAGGCCATCTCGTATCTCTTTCCTTCGCCAGCAGTTTTTTTTTTCCTGTATCATTTAGGATACAGAGAGACGAACGCTTGATTAACTCCAACCCCCCATTAAACGCGCAAAGCTCCGCGTTCTTCCGGTCCGCTGGGTTCCGGCTCCACGGAGCAGCCGGAAATTTCTGAGTTATCGAGAGCGTGACGTCATCGCGCTGTTATCGCTCAGCCGATTTCGACTCGACTTCGTCTCCGTGTGGCGTTTCGTGTCAAAGGCCGAATCCCTTTCGGCGGGATAATTTTCCGGAAGGATGGATTCGCGCGGATCGAATACGCTGCGATCGTGGTGAGCATCGTCTAAGACAAAGGGAGGGAAAGGGAGGATCGAGGAGAAGGGCTAAGGCTTAAGGCTTAAGTTAGCTTCTTAGGGAAGGTACACAAGGCTTTGTGGAAATGAAGAAATCGATAGGTGAATTTAAAAAGGATGTATGTATCGTTGTTGCAAGGATTTAAATTTTGTAGGATTAAAGGAGAATAATTGGAACGAATGGAAATAAATGGGATTGTTTGAATATTTGTAAGATGTAGAGAGTTGAGATGAAGTTTCACGGTTTCTGAGTGACATTGGTTAATGAGTATAAACGAACTGAGAGTAAACTAGTAGTTTCTAAATAATCGTTTTTACAGATATAGTTATGAAGGTTGAATGATTAAAAATTGATATTGTTATTCGCATAAGTTGAAATAAGTAAATAGATATTAATTCTAGAATAAGAGTACGAATTAATTGGCAAGAAATTAATTTTCACTTAAATTTTCGTTTTATCTCCGTGAAGTGAGAATGGAATAGAGTGGAAATAAATTCTCATCGGTATATCGAGACGATCTTTCGCTCGGAAAATGGATTGCATTCCGCCAACTCTCGATGATCACTCCTGTTGTGTGTAATTACGTTATTCCGGTGTAAATCATTGTCTCCATGGGATTCGAGGAAGCGAATAGATAGAATAAAGTGGAAAAGTTTCAAGTAAGATGATATAAAAGAAGAATATCTTGATTAACAAACGATCTCTTTTAAAATTAAATATCTCTTAATAAACGACTTAGATAATTGAGATAAATTAAGACTAAGATTAATATATAATTTATTTCATCTGAAAATATAATATAATTTTGTATTCTTATATTTTCTTCTAACATGACGTAACTAACATGAACTACAAATTAATTTTGTTCTTGGATTCTGTTCTTCTAATCCATCGATCAAGTGTATCTTTATACCAGAAATTTTATGTAGACTTTATCCGTACAATCGATTCAAAGCTGTGTCTCATCTGAAATCCAACTCGATTTCTTCCGTACTTTCCTAACCACTTGTCATTTGCAGCAATTCGACAAGATTTTCATTCACGTCCAACATTTGAGAAGTTCATTCGCCTTTACAATGCCAAGCATAGACGTTGTACATGGTCACTTCACTATTGTGGACTTTTAGCTTCGTGCTCTGGATTCTGTCTCCACTTTCCTTTGTAAACTTGAATAAATAAATTTCTTGGAAATGTTTCTACTGAATTAATTTTTAATTTTTCTTCTTTGACGGACAAAAGGAAAAGGAACGTTTCGAGCATGAAATACAATAATGCAAATTAATTACGACTGTTGAAAATAAAAATAGAAATATTTGTAGAAATTTTATATAAATTTATACTCGTATTTTATATTAAAGAAGATTTTTAGAAATCCAGAATAGTTTTGGTTCTTTTTGGTTGGAATAAATTCGTTTTAATCCAAATTTGATGTAACTGCGATAGACAATAATTCCGCGAATTAATTATCCAGCTAATGAATTTCATTAATTATTACCATCGTTTCTGATGATAATTACATTTTAATGCGAAAATACTATTGAAAATCATGTGTGCATGTCTGGTCTTTTCAATAAAATCTATAAAGCAAACGAACAATAGTTTAGCAACAACCAACATACCGTGTAAATCGTAAACAAATCTGCCAACTTTGAAAATCCGTTATAGCGTTTCCGTTGTAGAACGCTAATTAATAACAAGCAATGAACAAACGTTGTTTGGCATTGCAAGAGCTGCAAAAAAAGAAAAAATAAAATAATATCGCGTGAATAAAATTTGTTAACAATTTTCCGCGTAAAGTTTCTTTGTCCACCGACCTGATTCGCTCAAAAATTAATAATCACTGCTATAATAAAAAATTTGATTACGTTCCAAAGCTTTATGTCCAAAAAATTAATTTTCTATTTATTTCCAACTGTTCTGTCTATTCAAAATTTTAATGATCGAAAAAAGACTAGCAATAAAAGACTCTTTTCTATCAGATCAATATTTACAATCGATATTACGGAAAAGAAATTTGATGTCACTTTCACTAAAAATTTTAAAATTAGCATTCGAAAGGTGACTTTAAGATTCGACGACTCGGTTTTTACAACGAAAACAAAATGTGCTCTTCATTTACTCGTTCTTTATCGATGTCTTAGTCCAGGTCAATCGTGGTTTATTGCCAATTCACGACGAAGAGCAGTGCTCGTGAATTTACAAGTGGAAACGGAAATTCCGCTATCATCTTTGAACAAAGAATCCAACTCAGGTTGTATCCACTGTCATAAACCATGAATTTCAATTAACCATTTGATTTCTCTTTTCTTTAATAGGAATCTATTTCATTTTGTATCTCGTGTCAAGGAGGGATTTTCTTTGAGAAGAAATAAGATTTTTTTTTTTGAAGTTTGATATGTGAAAGAATTTTCTATAATGTTTTTTCTTGCTACATTTTCATAAATCACTCACGGTGAGTGGAGACTGTAAAGGAAATTGCCACCTTGTCTATAAAGATCGAGCCGCGCGATGAAATACGGCCGGCGAGACATGGTCGAGTTCAAGTTAAAAGGATTTTCAAGAGTAAGTTTCTTGTAAGAGCCTTGGCCAAGTTGATAGCTTCTGTGCAAGAGGGTGAATGGAGAGTATCGCAGAATTTTTTTCTTTTTTTTTTTTAATTATCGGATAGTTTATTTTTATAGGATTTTGATGGAATGTTTCAATACGATTTATTTTAAAATTTTTGAATATATATTTTATTATGATTTATTTAAAGACTGATACTGTTTTACCGATATTTTAATTATTCTGCGTATAAAATCTAAAACTATTTGAACTAAGGAAAAAGGAAATATCGATCACTTTAATTAACGATTAATGTATCTACCATTTTTTAAGTGCAAATGATTTTTATTCTTTAAAACGATATTTACGCTCAATCGAATTCAATATCGTGTTTGAACTGTAAAGCATCGCTAGAAAAGAAATTTCTCCGTACAAAAATATCAAAGACTCAACAATTTCAATCATTTGTACCAACTAATCTTCCCAGATTTTTCAATACGCTTCGTTTCCAAATCGAATCCATAGATTCAAATGTATAACAGACCAGTTCGAAAACCGGTTGTTTCCGGTGAATTCAATTAAATTTTCTGGAAGCTGCGCGTTTGATAACCGTCTGTACGGTCCTATTATCGCATTCTCTCGTCTATTTCCGATGTTCCGGGCTTAATTAATGTTATTTCATCTTCGCCACGGCCGATGAATACGTTTCGTGGCGCGAGCCCGCTCGGTTCCTTTAATTTAATGCATTGTCTCGATGGACCAGCGCTTCTGGAATAATAATTCATTACTGAACTGAGCCAGGCATCCTGGTTATGTGAGATGCCCTCTCCGGGATACCAAGAAGAAACTTTTCCTTCCTATTTCTCCAGAGATCGTATTTCCCTCTTGTTTGCCGCCTGTTTATTCGTCTGCGGTCCTTCTCTCTTTCGTCAGAGCGAGAAATTCTGTCTGGCAAGTTTGCGATTAACCAAAAATTTTGTCAGCCGCTTTGGAAATCGATGAGGATAAGATGATGGTGGTGCATTGAATTTTATATAAATTTTTGTTTATATAAAATTTGCGATTAATTAAGAAGTGGACATTTTTTAATCCATTTGTATAATTTATGAAAATTTCATCTTGTTCCGTTATATAAAATATAACGAAGTGTAAATCTAATAATTTCTTGCTCGCATCATTCGAATCAGACAAACATTTACATTATCGCATTTCCTCGAAAAATATATCAACAAGCAAGTCGATCATCGCTCACGAAATTTCCACGAAATCTTCCAACCGAAGTTATTTACCTTTCATCTCTCTTAAACTATAAACATTCCTTTAAATACGATCACACGAGATCCATCCTCTCGAGACAATAACTCGAAAATAAGACTAGCAGCATAGATAGATTTGTTCGCAAATATATATCCTGCATTTGTTCACGCTCAACGCTTATAACGTTGCGTCTCAAATCCAAAGAGTCGAAAAGGAAAACGGAAAACGAAGACGAGAACAGGAGGACGATGCGAAATATCCGGAATATTGAACGGCGTTCAATCTTGTATTTCGGTTTATCTTTATAAATCCCCGTTAAAAATTGAGGGAAACGTGGTTGGCCGATCCATGCCACGATCGATCGCCGCGAAAATTTCCATCTTTCGCCGAAATTGAGTTGAAGATACGGTCGAGGAAGGGGACCGTCAGGAGAAAATCTTGAAACGGGGAAGGAAAGCCGCGAGGATATATATTTCGACGTTGAAGCCGCGAGGGTTGTTACTCTGGTCGCGTTTGTGGACACCCTCTTCTCTCGATTATAATTTCAAATCAACCGCTTCTTGAAAACTTCCTACAAGATTATTACGTTTTCGAGAGCGCTACGTTGTCTCAACCGCTATCTCGCGAAATTGTGGATGAGCATTATGACGTTTCCCTGCCGACTTGGTATTTAAATTAGCTTCGACGATGCAGCGTTAATATCTGGGAACTGATAGATGTAAATGACACGGAATTTTTAAATGTTGTTGGAACATCTTTTGGTATTTACCTCGACCGTGATTCGTCAGGTGCGTGTATTTAACAATAGTTATCACTTTATTTTTTGTAAATTAATATCGAAGTAATTGACACAGTTGATTTCCATTGATAATTATTAAATTAAATTTAAATGCGTGTAGAATTATCGAGGTTAAAATGAAAAGTTCGCTTGCAATTACATCGATACCGACTTAAAATCTTTTTAATAGAATGTGGAATTGTTAATTTTGAAAATTAATACTTCGACCACTGCTTTTTCTTGATATGAAATTAAACATTCTATCTCGTATCAAAGCGATGAAACAAATCTATCTGCAAATATAAGTTTATACATGCGCTTTAATTATAATTCGTTGAAAGCAAATGGTTATTATTGTAAAAATATATAAAGAAACGTTTGAAACGATGTTTCTTTTAAATTTGTAGGAGAAGGGAATAGTAGATTCATCTCTGTTAACGTTAACGTTCCTACCTCTTGACCTGTTTGATTAAACAGCGAGATAAAAAGAGACTTTCTTTACTAACTTATCTTCACCGCAGAAAATCGCCAGCATATTTATACGATTTTCCTTTCACAGTTCCTTTATCTCCTTCTACGCCATGAACACCATGATTCAATCTTTGACATTACGTAAGTCTTGTGTCATTTTTATTACGTAAGAAGGATACTCCGATTTTCGTTTCTTTGTATTTATCCAAACGTTGTAACGTTTTTATTCGCTTCTTGTGTCTTCTTTGAGAAATAAATCTCTTAACATCTTCCCACAGCCCAATTCGATTTGGCAAATTTCTCAAGATGCACGAAAATATTCGAACATCGTAGCTGGACGTATCGAAAGTATGTATATCATCTTTCATTTGTGTATTTTTTTACGTGGATAAGGATCAAAGGAAAATTTAGAGCCCGAGAAAAATTGGGGAGAGGAAAATTTCTCAAGAGAAATATAACGAAACTTCTGCCACTACTTCCAAATGTTCACGAAGATAGCTCGACTTGACCTCCGCTTTCTCACCCTCGTCCACGTGAAAAATTGGCCCGTTTCAGTTCTCGAAATTTTCCTTTTCTTACGGCAAAGTGGAAATTCTTTGCGGCAATCTTGCTTCCTTATATATATATATATATATATATATATATATATCTTCTTC